GGGTTTGGGCACATGTATTAACCTATTTCGATAATTCAGAATAAAGTATTTGGTTCACCTGTCAACATGGCAATGTCTTGTAATACACCTTTCTTTCCATCTCGAAATCCTGGACATTGCACAACAGCAACATTGAGCATTCCTTGCATCTTGTTAATGACTAGTGTTTCTAGCACTTGCTTTGAAATGTCCTCAGCAAAAATCAGCAGTGGCACACTCAGCTGAGTGGCCTTCTCTAGCAAAGGAACAATTTCTTTGACACTAGATATCTTTTGATCGGTTACCAGAACTTTGGCATTTTCAAACTCTACTATAGATTTGTCGGGATTGTTGATGAAATGAGGTGACATGTACCCCTTGTCAATCTGTAGGAAAAGAATGCCTGAATACAAATCAAGAAAATAATGAAAACAAATGGAAGAAAAAGAATTTTACATATGAAGTGGTGAAATTAGCTAAAAATTATAAATGGATAACTAGAGGTTAATTCTCTTAGTAGGCACTTTGTTAGAGCTTTCAGATTTACTTCAAACCTGAAAGTCTTGGAAAAGTTCACGAGGGATCATGTTTTACCTTATAGCTTATTTCTCAGTACAGAAATTGAAGTAAAAAAGTAACACTTTGAAGCAGATATTACCTTCATTCCTTCTTCAACCATGATTGACGTTTCAGCTGATGAGGAAGACTCAATACATATCACTCCATCAGGACCAATCTTCTTAATTGCCTCAGCAATCAAACTGCCAATGAACTCGTCATTTCCAGCTGATATTGAAGCTACAGCTGCAAATAGTAAGAAGAGAGAGAGATCAAATCCTTAATTATTATTTTTTGAAGTGAATGAGAAATTCCCTGAGTTGAATAATGTAAAGAATAAAGCAAGTTACCTTTTATATCATCATTTCCTCTAACAGGATGACTTTTCATCTTCAAAGTTTTGACCAGCTCTCTTACTGTCTGATCCATACCTTTCTTCATAGATACAGGGTTAGCCCCAAAATCAACAGCTAACAACCCAGCTTTGATCATCTCACGAGCCAAAACAATTGCAGTAGTTGTGCCGTCACCAGCTAACCTGTTGGTCTTAGTTGCAACCTGCAATAGATAAAAAATATTTCCAAAATTAAGAATTTCTCAAACACTATTCAAAAACCCAAATCATGCTCAGTGTCAGGCTCAACTAATAACCTCTTGGATAAGTGTGGCTCCAGCATTTTCAATTGTATCTGGAAGTTCTATGGCTTGAGCTATGGTAACACCATCATTAATTATTTTCAGTCCCCCAGCTTCAGAGAGAACTACGTTGCGGCCTGCATAATTTGCCACACAATCATCGCAATCCAAAACAAGCAGGCAGACAGCATATATGCTATGTCTAAAAACAAGTTCCTCATACATATTTGATGGAACCAAAAGTGCAAACCAACTAATTTCTTCCAATCTTATTTTTTTAGAAAGGTAACATTATATATCAGTTGCACAAAGGATGTACAACTGATAAGAGAGAACTCATGTCATAAGGCTAAGTAAATAATTTTCAAAAATCAATATACAGAACACAACTTTTTGAGGAAACCACTAAAAGTTTTTTTCCCCACAATTTTAATGGGGTAATCCAAACAATCACTCTAACACAAGTATTAGAAAAATCAATGCCTTGCCCTAGACATAAGATTGAACAAATATTGTGTACCTTAACCTGAAGAAAATTGCCACCAAGAAGTTGTTGCATATCCTACTCTAAGGGTTTTGTTTCACAAACTAAATGTCATTCAATAAACTGTATTCTAGGAGGAAGTAATATGTTTCTGTGCTTATAACATTGAAAAGAGCTCCTCTTCTTTTCAGAAGACAAGAGAAGAAGTTATTCTTTAATTTCTGTTAACAATCACAACAAAATTAGAGGATCTTTTATTTTTAATTTCTTTCTTATAGCTTGTTTGGCCAACCTTTTGGGTGGCTAAAAGTGCTTATTTTTACCAAAAAATGCTTGTTTTTAAAAAGTGAGGTGTTTGATCAAACTTTTGGGGAGAAAATAAGTGCTTTTCAAAAACACTTAGAAACACTTTTAGGAAGCTTGGCCAAACGAGCAAAAGTGTTTTTTAAATTTATTGGCCACAATCTATTTCTTAACAAAAGTACTTTTGTGATAAGCACACTTCAGCCGAGGAACTTCAAAAACCGGCCTCTCTACATCCACGAGGCAGGGCTAAGGTCTATGTACACTCTACACACTCCAAGCACTTTGTGGGATTTCACGGGGGCATGTTGCTGTTGTTCTTTTTTGAAAAACACTTTTCCAAATAAGCTGATTTTAGAAATTTGGCCGAACAAACTATTAACCTCTCCTAACTAGGTCGGATCGGCTCACCTGAGCACACAATTTTGACTCAGGATCAAAATTAGCCAACAACTTTGTTCCCATCATCTTCATTTTCCATTTCCTCTAATGTCTATATATGAATTAAACTGGAAATATAGACCAATTATAAATGATATAAGCAAACAAGTCTAAATTTTTTTCAAAGAAGCGGGAAAACCCATTATACCTCTAGGTCCTAAAGTGACAGAAACAGCATCAGCAAGCTTATTGATACCAGAAAGTAAAGCTTTTCTGCATTCTTTATCAAAAGCTATCCTCTTTGGGCCAGCTCTCACCACCATCAATTTCTTCTTCCCTAAACTTTGCCTCAATGCCCAAGAATTACCCTTTCCTTTTTCTTCCTGAAAACCCAAGTCGAAGAACAAAAATTATACAAAAAATCAGCTAAAAACAACAACTTTAACATTTTTACAAAGAATTGACTGTATTATGAGAGAGTTACCTTGAAAGAAAACTTTAAAGGAGAGTATAAAGGTGAAAACATTGAGAGGGACATCTTGTAAGGAGAAGGTGTGGGGTGGGGGTGGGGGGGGGAGGGGGATGAGGTTTTGCAGGCTGTGGAGATTTTAGGGGTAAAGACTGAAGAGGAAGAGGGGGGAGATGAAAGAGCTAAAACATTTTAACTCTGGCCAGGTTTGAGAAATGATGAAAATGGTACCTTATGTATGGATAAATATAAAATGGTCCTTTAAAGTATACTTTTTAATCAGTTTACATCCTTCATATTTTTCCAAAAGTGATTTTTTTTTATTTCTTTTAAAAATGAATTTTTTTTTTAGTGGTTAGATTTAAAGAGGATTGTAGAAAAAAGTTGACTAAAAATATCAGGAAAATACAAGTAAATGACAAAAACTATTTTTCTACATGTAGGGTGTGTTTGGTATGAAGGAAAATGTTTTCCATGGAAAATGTTTTCCTAGAAAATGTTTTCCAGGAAAACAAGTTGATTTTTGACTTATTTTCTCATGTTTGGTTGGTGAGTAGAAAATATTTTCCGGAAAAGATTTTTAGTGTTTGATTTATGAATGAAAAATATTTTTGAGAAATATCTTTTATTTTTACTAGAGTAGAAAATAATTTTTGAAATTGAAAATAGTTTTTAAGAACAAACTTAAATTTTTTTTGGGGGGTGGGTGTGGTAGGGGGTGGGTGAAGGGGGGGATGGTCGAGGGTAGGAGTGAAAAATTGAAATTTTGAAGTTGAAAATATTTTTGAAAAACAAACTTAAAATTTTTTTTGGGGGTGGGGGGGGGGGCTAGTAGGGGGTGGGTGGGTGGGGGTCGAGGATAGGGGTGAAAAACTGAAATTTTGAAATTGAAAATATTTTTTAAAAACAAACTTGAAATTTATTTTTATTTTTTTGGGGGTGGGGGGGGCTGGTAGGGGGTGGGTGGGTGGGGGTCGAGAGTAGGGGTGAAAAAATGAAAATTTGAAATTGAAAATATTTTTTAAAAACAAACTTGAAATTTTTATTTTTTTTTTGGAAGGGGGGTGGGGGGCTGGTAGGGGGTGGGTGAGTGGGTGGGGGTCGAGGGTAGGGGGTGAAATTTTGAAATTGAAAATATTTTTTAAAAACAAACTTGAAATTTTATTTTTTTTTGGGGAGGGGGGGTGGGTGGGTGGGGGTTCTAGGGGTGAAAAAATGAAATTTTGAAATTAAAAATATTTTTTAAAAACAAACTTAAATTTTTTGTGGGAGGGGGGGGGGGTCAAGGGTAGGGTGAAAAAATGAAAATTTGAATTTGTAAATATTTTTTTAAAACAAACTCAATTTTTTTTTGAGGGTGGGGTAAAAAAATTGAATTTAAAAATAAGCTTTAAATTTTTATTTTTATTTTTTTTTTGGGGGGGGGGGGGTGGTTTGAGGAATAAATTGATTTTTAAACAAAAAATAATTGTAATTTAAAGTTGGAAGAGAGTTTTGGAAAATGTTTTCCTTAAGTTTAGAAGGGAAGTCATTTTCCTTAAATTTGAGGAAAATGAGTTGATTTGGAAAACATTTTCCAAAACATTTAGCCCAACCAAACATGAGAAAATTGGAAAACATTTTCCGGAAAATGTTTTCCTTCATACCAAACACACCCGTAAGTTCTTAAATATACTCATCTTTTTTAGTGAAACAATTTTCGTCAAATCTTTTCGTTAGAGTTTGTTAAATATTTCATGAAGGTTATTTTATTTGGAAAATTTAAAGGATTAAAATTGCTCATATATTAAATAAGACATGAAAAATACTCATGTTGAATGAGTAAGGTGTCACCTAGTTAGAAAGTGAATTATTTATGTATTAAAATTAATATAACTACTATTCTATTTATTAGTACCATTTTAATTGCTGTATAAAATTCGACATACTACTACATGTATAATCACGAAGGATATTTTATACCAAATACAAGATAGAATAAGTAAAATATAAATAACTAAACTTCACATAACTCTATCAAGCAACCAAACAAACACCATAAGACTTGCTTAAAGGTGATCTAAAAGGGGATTGTTAAAAGCACCATTCAACATTAATGTCATATTGAGGAAAACCATTTACCACATCAACTTTGCCTTAAAAAAATATTGTGAAAGGTGTTTGGGAATTTATAAATGCAATGCCAGAAGAGATGAAAAACTTGAATTTAACCTAAATGAAGTTCAACATCCAAAAACACTGAATTATTTGCAAAGACAGAGAAGACAAAATAGCACTACTAGTATCCAGCTTCCGGGGCATAGGAATAAAGCCTCTTTATGCATTGTGAAAAATTCCTGCAGGAAATTGTGTTCTTGCTCAACTTTGGTGAGGTTTCAAATCAGTGCTTCGCGTCTTCCTCATCACAAAATTTGGTATACTGGTCAGGGTCCATCAATGCTTTGACCTCTTCGGGTTTGTTCATCTCAACTTTCAAAATCCATCCTTGTTCATAGCAGTTCGCATTGATCTAAATTTAACAAATTGCACATTTGATCACATACCATATACGAACAAGTAAAGATGAAACGTGAAACAATATCATACAGCTGAACAAAAATAAAGAACGCTTGATGATTGAATTCAGCAAAAGGTCCAGATACTACTCTTGTGGAGTTGAGCTATAAATATCCATATTTTGACAACGTGTTTAGGAAGGTGGAGGACTATTGACGTACCAGATTCTAGTAAGTCACATATTCTCAAATAAACTTGTAAGTTATTAACTCTCACGATGTACAGAATAAAGTTTATTCTGTAGAGTAGCTTAATAATAGATTTTAGAAGTTCATAGAGCTTAGACCTATTAGTGTAGTCTCTGCAGACTAGCGAATCTGCACTTCAACTTTTATGGCAGTAGTACAAGGGTACAACAACTATCTACGCCTCAATCCCAGATTAGTTTGAGCAATGTGAATCCTCATTATCCATTTCACTCATTTTGGACCTTATACATTCCCAACTTACAAGTTACAATCAACTAAAAATATTCTTGGAAAAGAACCAGAGGGGAAAAGGGGGAGATCATTTGGAACACAATATCAGTTTTATAGAGCTAAGAAAGCTTGTGACGCACTATTGATGTACACACAAGTAAGTACATCTTCTCATACTAGACCAACACTATATATACGAGGAGGAATGCATGACAGAGATGATCACACCAATGTAGACAACAAAAACATATACACATGAATGCGTAGGTTAGAGTCCCACGGGACCCAACCAACCAATGTGGAATGGATGGGTAGTCTACTTATATGGACTTGGGCAATCCTCCGTGAGCTAAATTTTGACTGAAGATAAAACCTACTTGGGCTAAGGTATAGAATAATGGAAAATATTCTACTTACTCTGACTTGAAGCAAGTACCCCAGAACTAACACTAAAGATCAATTCAAATGCGACATTGCAATAACATCTACCAGAATGCTAGCTTCATCATTTTATTCTAACCTATATGGCTACACAATTAGATCATAGATCTATGATACTCACCAGAGCAGGACCGTTGTTGAGTTCCTCATTAAATTCCACCACCTTCCCTGAAACAGGAGAATTGATATCACTGGAAGCCTTGACACTTTCAACAGCACCAAAACTGCCAAATTGTTCCACAGAAGACCCAACTTCAGGAAATTCAACGTAAACAACATCACCTAAATGTTTCTGAGCATGATCAGTGATGCCAATTGTTGCAGAATTACCGTCAACTTTAACCCATTCATGAGATTCTGTGTACTTCAAATCCTTGGGCACTGCAGAAATTTTTTAACACACAACCATTGTCACATCGAGTCATATTCAGACAACGCTTCAAATTTTGTTTGTTACTTTCCTTCTATTAAAAAAATAAATAAATTGCTTTTGGGTCAAAATTACTTTTGTTTGTTTGTTTATTCCTTTTTACCTCAGAAAGGAGAGAGGGTGTTATTCATAATCATATGTAACTGCACATCCCAGTCATCCATAGGTTGTTACTACATTATGCAAAGGGGGGGACTTTTGAGTCGAGTGTTTCTATGGTTTTGTCAAAACTATACTCTTTAAAATCAGTGGATTCAGACAAAACATGGAAGTCAAACAATAAATAGCAACACGATAGGAAGCAAAAACACTCAAAAATTTGCATATCCATAGTTCAGGATATTGACAACATCTATGAACATAAGTTGCACAAAGAAATAATCCTTTATAATTATTTAGACTGTATAAATATTTCGAGCACATCTTATCATAAAAAAAATCATATAAACATTGTGTCCAACTTAATTGGACAATGAAAACGCATAGCAATCGGAATAGGCTATTATTAAATTCATTTTCCTTGGCACCTTCTTATTTTTAAGGTTCAGGGAATGAAGGATACTGTAGATTTAAGCTAGGCTCCCTACAACTCATATCTGGAAGGATCAAACATGCCTAAATCAATATAATATGAATCAAACTCAACACTTAACTTATAACAACAGAAATAGCTCGCCATCTCTATCCAGATCGTCCGCTAAGCTAATGCACCTGAATAGGTATTTAGCATGTTCTCTACATATATTATGAACAAAAGTCATACCGTACTACAAGATGCCTTCAGTTTTGCAGTGTAACTACAGAGGACAGAGAAAGATACAAGGCATGTGACTGGAGAATTTCACATAGTTACAGTCTACAGAAAATTGTTCAGCTATTCCTGTAAACCTTGGAGAATCTGCAGTTCACAACCAGCTAATAGAGAGGTCGGCACTTGAAGGAACAGAATAACAATTATGATGGGACATGATTCAAATTATCTTCATAGATACCTGCTTTAGAACTTCTTTTATTTGAATTACATTAATGCAAACAAAACAAGTAGAAACATGGATGCATTTTACAGAGATGGAAGTGAAAACGATTACTCTGAATTTGTTGATGCAGTGTGACAAGTTACTACCATTCCCCAAAGTTAGTCAAATTATAAAACGTCCAAAAATTTAGTCATTAAAATTAAAAAGAGCTCTTATCCTCATTGCATTACCATCTTCCAATCCTACGGGTTTTTTTATGACAAGGGAAACCCGCAACCGCTACCCTTTGGGTGCGCACAGGGTAAAACCCCGCTCCTATGCAATAGCTCGCAAACCACATAGGAGAGGTAACCTGCACTAGGCAAGCCTGGCACGACGAGCTCGACCCAGAAGGCAACCCCCTTGCTTTCGCTGGCAAGGGGTTTCAAACTTGAGACCTCCAACATGAAAGTCCCAAGCCCAAACCACTGGGCCACCCCGAAGGGTATCTTCCAATCCTACATCACTGATGATATATCAGAAATAAGCACAAGCTCCGATTTGATTTCTCGGAGAGTCACTCAACTAATAGTTACTATCTTTGACTTTCTTGTTGAAGAAAATTGGAAACAAGGAGATAATAACTATTAGTTGAGCACCGTCTAAGAAATTAACCCTCAAGTCTACATCATAAAAAATCCATATACATATTAGAGACAGATTCACAGGGCAAAAAAAAAAAATCAGTCCTCAATCAACATCTGCAAAAAGAATGAAGAACACACAATACCCTACAGATTTATCAAAAAAAAAAAAAAAAAAACACACAATACCCTACAACAACCTTGAAACACTTCAGACTACCAAAGGTGACATATTGCATAACCAAGAATAAAGTAGAAACCCACAGCACAATAACCCTTCCACTGATTATAGAAAAGAAAAACAATGCACAAAGCAAGGGACATCAACATTTCCCAATCAGCATCACCATACAAAATAAACACCCTGCTAAAATCCTGGATACACCCCATAATATTAAAAAAAAAAAAAAGGTGACAAGAGTACAAAATCAAAAACATGAAATACAAATCTATCAAAAACCCAACAAATCATTCTGCTGATCCAAGAAATCACACAAACTCCGGACCCCACTTCCAAAAATCGGATCTTTAATCAAGAAAATAACAGATCAAGCAAATTCTTGAACAAAAAAATTACTACATAACCAAGATCCACATAGCTCAAAGCATTTGAAGAAAAGGGTAAGTGGGTAATTCCAGAAACAATAATATAACTCCATTACCAGTGGCAAAAGCCCTGTGAAATGCTGAGATCCTGAGATATGAAGCAGCCCTTGAAGCCCACAACTTTGTAGCCATTTTTCTTTTAGGTATCTGGTTTGGATGTAGAGCTGTGTCAACACTTGTATGTATTAGGGGAAAATGGAAAATAAATAGTACAAGTAGTAGTAGAGTTATAGAAGAAAGTGGAAGCAATAAAAATAGGGAAGACAATGGTGGCTGGTGGGTTGAGGTGTCAACAAAGTTGTTTAGCAAAGTTGGTGAGTGTCACTTGGAATTTTTTGTTGGTAGCTGATTCCATGAGGTGGGTCTCATGGAAGACATCCTGTTTCCTACCTTTTGTTTATCAGATTTTCTTTTGACAAATATACTAAATAATACTGTAAAACCTTTATAAATTAATACTCGGTAATTAATAATCTCTCTAAAAATATTTTTTCTGATCCCAACTTGGGCAAATGTAAAAAATCACCAATTTCGATAAGATAATAAGGTAATATTTTTTCAGAAGACCCTTATATAAATATATGGTCCTATTAATATCATAAATTAATACTCCCTCCGTTTCACAAATAATGACCTCCTTTCATTTTTAGTCAGTTTCAAAAAAATGACCTCTTTCCTTTTTTGGTAACATTTTACTTTTTGCTTTCCACGTGGCATGTTTAAGACCACAAGATTAAGGGCAATTTTGTATATTTGACATAACTTTAATTTAGGACAACAAGATTCAAAAGTCTTCTTTAATTTCTTAAACTTTGTGTCAAGTCAAACCAGATCAATCTTTTTGAAACGGAGGGAGTAATTCTTTAAAAGTACAAATATATATAAGACAATTTAGTGAAATATGATTCTATTGTGTTCTGTTTTTTCTTAAAATTTAAATGTAGTTGAGGCTCTTTTCTAACTTTTCTTATTGCATTCAAGAGCTTCGGTGTTGTCTTTTCGAACTGCATCATAAAAAATATGAAGAGTTCTAGATGCGATAAGTGTTTCCTTATGCGTAATTGGTTCCAAATGTATAGTATCATCTTCAACTTCATTATCAACATTGTTTTTTTCGATGGTATCCATAAATTCTTCTAAGCTTTAGACCTCTGAACATGTATCACTTTCATCAGGATAATCCAACAAGTTATTGACATCCATTTTATTGTGGTAATTGAGATCATTAATCATGACCTCAAGTTCATGAATGACGTTTTCACAAGTGAGTTCATTCAAATTCTCTGAGATTGCATCCCTCGAACGAATTTTATAGTGTCGAAAACAATTTTCTATTGTCTCTTGCTGAACATTTGTTGTCCAAACAGGGATTGGAAAATTGATAGCATCCAAAACATTAATCTTTGTTGGATCAGTTTGTCCCACTTCATAGCTTTCTAATATCCTACGATAATACATCTTGAAAGCTTTTATTATCTCAGCATCACAAGGTTGAATTTTGGATGTCATGTTGGATGGCAAGAAAAACAATTCAACATTTTGTAGTCCTTCAATATTTCTATCATGGGCTAGACAATTATCTACCATAATCAAAACTTGTCTGCCATGCATTTTGTGGTCAAACCAATGAATATATTCATCAAAAATCACACTTGTCATTCATGCTCTTTTGTTTGAATGATAGTGACAATTAAATAAATATGATACATAATTAGTAAGATACAATGATTTTAATATAATAAAATTAACCTTCATTAAATCTCAAACCATTTTTTAAATTAATAAATATTAATTTATCGATTAAATAATATCTCTATAAAATAATAAAATTTCAGGTTTCACCTATATTATTTTATAGATGTTTTACTGAAGTTGTAATAACTTTATTGCACTTTAAATATATTAAGTTATTTGTAATATTAATTTTATAGAGATTTCTCCTTTTTTATTTGAGTTTTTAAATTTATCCTTTACTTTCAAAATTATTTTAAATATATTTAGTTTGATGAAATTTCATTTATATAAGATCTTCATGATATAAAAAGTTTAACCTTTGTTTTTAAGAAAATAAATAATTTAATTTACTGAGATAATGTATGATTTTCACAATATATAGATATAAGGAGGTGTGAGAGGTTGAATATAATGAAGCGGATGAGTGGTAAAGGTAGGTTAAAGAAGTATCGGGGAGAGGTGATTAGGCATGACATGATGCATTTTTCAGCTTACCGATAACATGACCTTAGATAAGAGGGTGTAGAGGTCAGGTAATAGGATAGAAGGTTAGTAGATACTGCATAGTAGTTTTTGCTTTTCAAGGGGTTAGACTTTTGATATCTATCATCGTTTGATATATATTGTGTTTCGTTTATCTCATTATTTTGTTGTTTTTTTAATAGGCTTCGCCTTGCTTCCTTTGTTAGTTGCTACGTTTTCTACATTGTTTTTTATACTTAGATTTCCTGCTCTTGAGCAGAGAGTCTTTTTGAAACAACCTTTTAAGCTTAACGGGGGAGTGATAAAATTTATGTACAATCTACCCTACTCGTAGAATTTCACCGACCTATATGTTGTTGATTATATTATACAAAACATAAGAGGTCTATTCGCAATTAAGCTATAGTATAGAGGTGTTTAGTGTAATATAGGAGGAGTATTAGGCCTCGTCTCCTAAACAAGTTCAATTCTTCTGGTAGAAGAGAGACCAAACCCTTGTCGTCACTGCTCATTTGACTGCTAAACCCTAACCCTCCGACGGCGGCAATGAAGGATAAGAAATTAATAGCCCTAGGGTTCGAGGGTTCCGCCAACAAAATTGGCGTCGGAGTAGTAGCAATCGACGGCACAATTCTTTCTAATCCACGACACACCTACATAACGCCGCCAGGCCAAGGTTTTCTCCCCCGTGAAACCGCCCAGCATCACCACCAACACATCTTACCCTTAGTAAAATCCGCTCTAGATACCGCCGGAGTAACTCCCGATGAAATTGACTGTCTCTGCTACACAAAAGGCCCTGGCATGGGTGCTCCACTGCAGGTTTCGGCAGTGGTTGTACGTGTTCTATCTCAGCTATGGAAGAAACCTATTGTTGGGGTCAACCACTGTGTTGCGCACATTGAAATGGGTCGAATCGTAACCGGGGCGGTTGACCCGGTTGTGTTGTATGTGAGTGGTGGAAATACTCAGGTTATTGCGTATAGTGAAGGACGGTATAGGATTTTTGGGGAGACGATTGATATTGCTGTGGGGAATTGCTTGGATAGGTTTGCTAGGGTTCTTACATTGTCTAATGATCCTAGCCCTGGGTACAACATTGAACAGCTTGCGAAAAAAGGGGAAAAGTTCATTGAACTTCCATATGTTGTAAAGGGAATGGATGTTTCCTTCAGTGGAATACTGAGCTTCATTGAAGCCACAGCTGAGGAGAAGCTGAAAAATAACGAGTGTAGTCCGGCTGACCTTTGTTTCTCTTTGCAGGAAACTCTCTTTGCGATGCTTGTAGAGATAACAGAACGAGCCATGGCGCATTGTGATAAGAAAGATGTGTTGATTGTTGGTGGTGTAGGATGCAATGAGCGCTTGCAAAAGATGATGCAAATTATGTGCTCTGAGAGGGGCGGAAATTTGTTTGCAACTGACGATAGATACTGCGTTGACAATGGAGCAATGATTGCTTATACCGGTCTCCTAGAGTATGCGAATGGTGCATCAACTCCAATGGAGGAATCAACGTTCACTCAACGGTTTAGAACTGATGAGGTCCTCGCAACTTGGAGGGAGAAGGAATCAGCTATAGCATGAATAACCCTGGGGTGTTTTGTCACACGAATGTGTTGTACTATATTTATCTGCCCATAGTTACTTATAATTAGTCGATAGTAAGGCGTACATGAACAATTTCGTGTACTAATTATGCATTTCGAGAAGATTATTGTAACATGATTGGGAGATGTGGTTGAACAGTACACGGGGGTTGTCTCGTTTCCAAGCGTATAGGCTTGGTGATAGGTTGGTGCATTGCACTTGTTTCCCTGTTCAGTAGCATTTTTCCTGTAGTTGTCTGTCTTGTGATTTTTCTCATTTGTAATTTACTGTGCTTTTTTGAATGCTATATTATGGGTTCCCTATTATTTGCCATGGCCATATTACTTATGTATTGCGTATTCGAGGCAAGAGTCTTTCGGAAACAACCTCTCTACTACTTTGCAGGCAGGTGTGTCTGAGTACACTCTACCCTCACCAGGGTAGGAGTTAGGTTTGCGTAGACTCTATCCTTTCTAGACCTCGCTCATGGGATTACACTAGGTTTTTTGTTGTTGTTGATTGTTACATACATTCTTAATACTGGAGCTGCCACTACTTTACCCCTTTGAAAGAAGAGAACCTTTGAAAGAAAACCAGGAGGGAGACTCTCTCCTTTCTAACTTTGAAAACGTTGTCGATTTGATTCGATTTTTACCTAAGATTGATCATGGTATTCAAGAGTACCGTTTGGGTCAATTTTTACCTAATATTGAACCAAATCAACCATCATCTCTTGCAAAATGTACAAAGAAAATCAAGCCAAATACAGTTGGATTTTAAGTTGAAATTTTATATTTGATTTGATTTTCGATGGTATATCCATATTCTAACTTCCACAGTTCCACATCAAATATTGCAATTTCATGAAAACTGTACAAGTCATTTCAAACTAACTCTACTGTCTTCACATTCTTGTGCATTGATCTAATCACTGTTGTAACTTGTTCAATCTGATCTTCACTTGAGCAAGATGAAAGGAGCACTTTGGCTGTTCCGCCATCTGGATAGCAACCTTCATCGATCATTTCCTCGAAGATTTCTAAGCATCTTTGGTACTGTTTCTTTTTGGAGTATGCTCCAAGACGGGAGGTCCATGTGACCACATCTGGCTTCAGGTTCTTAGCTGGAAGTGATTGGAAAACTTCTTCCATTTTCGCGATAAATCCTGAACGTCCATATGCATTGATCAAGATATTGTAGGTGCTGATATCGGCTATGTATGGTCCAGCTTCGATGACAGTCAAGAGTTCTTCCATTTTTGCAAACTGGCCAAGACGACCATACAAGTTGAGCATGCTGTTAAGAAGAAAGGTATCTAGTTTCACTCCTGATATCTGCATCTGATTCACTATTTCTTCACATTTTGACACGTTACTGTTTCTTGAGTAGGCTGATATGAGTAACATGTAAGATTTCATCGTAGGAGCTATCCCCGGCCTCGTCATCTCATCAAACACGGTTTGTGCATCTAGTATATATTGTTTAGATAAATGAAAAGATACAGTCAGTCAGAAACAAAGGAAACTTGCATAAGATGCATATGGATTCAACAAGACCATGGACACTAAACTTGTTATCGACAGAAACAGATTGCTTAAGACCGTTGAGAGCACTTTGTTTCTTGAACTTTTCATTTTCACTTGGCATCAATTTCATATTGAAAACTTCCCTTATTTAGGTTGTTATATGAATATGCATTTAGAAGTTGCAATTATCATGCTGTCCAGATGAGCTTAAACTATTTTGTCACTAAATGCGAGAGAAACACCTTTTTAACATTGAGAAAAAAAATACCTTCATGAAGACCAGCTCTTCCATAGGCATCCACCATGATATTGTATGAAGCTCTGTCTGGTTCACAGCCCATATGCTGCATGAGAGAAAAGATCTCTGCAGCACCCTGAGGATAGCCTGCACGACTGTTAGACGATAACATCAATTCAGTTCCTTTAGATAAGAAAATTTGTAAGAGAAGAACTAGTGGAAGAGGGAAGCATAACTCTGAAAATACCTATAGAAGAATGTACATGTTGAAGAGGGCTTGATATACATCTTCTATAATGATCTAAAGCTTATACTGGAATGGAAGATGAGTTTGATGGGATTATCTTGACAATTTTATTACAGTTAAAGAGGAGCCCAACAGTGAAACATTAGTGGTGTTCACCTGTAAGCTTCCATCAAGGCGTTATAGGTGTAAACGTCAGGCTCAAGCCCAGCTTCTTGTAGCTCTTCAAAGACTTCTTCAGCCTTTTCACATAGGCCACTTCTCGCAAATGCATTTACAAGAGCTGTGTAGGTACAGATATTAGGTTTACATTTCTGAGTTTTCATCTCATTGAACATCTTTAGCGCCATGTAGGACTTATTTTCCTGCATAATCAATAAGTCATTCAATCAACTGAGACACATGGACAGATAGATGGAAAAACATCATCATAGAAATCTTGAGTTAGCACATGAACTGTTCCCAGAACTGTCTATAAATCAAAAACAGTGTTAAACTAACTACTTGTATTACCTTCCCATATAAATTGATCAGCATTGTATAAGTATCAGTAGATGGTTGGCAGCTTTCACGCTTCATCCTATCGAAGATTGCCAATGCTTTTTGAGAATTCCTTCCCTTCATTAACCCATCAATATAAGCATTATATACAAGAGCACCTGCAGATGGCTGAATGATCATATTCTGCTGAGTCTTAAAAGTATATGGACGGCACATAAGGCCGATCCAACTAACTTCTATTTAGTCATCTGTTTCCGTTTGTGTGGGCAGAATTGTGAACCTTTCTTCACTCACCTATGAGAACTACAAAAACAGCTCACAAGTTGAGCAAAAAAGAATACCTACAGTCACTAATAAGTGATTGGGGAATCTAAGTGTTCATATCGTTTAGTTTTTTGGTGAAACTTATAAGAAATATAGTTTACACAAGAGCAATAGGCTTGTTCTTTTTGTTCATCGTACATGGTCTAGACCCAATAGGTGCTGAGTTTGAGCTTACATAGGCCCAAGAGAAAGTAGTTATAAGTTTCCACTAACATAGCATTGCGATTATGATGCCATTTGATTCTATAGTATGTATAACAGAAGATAGAAAAAACAAGAAAACTTACTTGGAGGAAGGCCATTCTTCCGCATCTCAGAGAAGACAGCTTCAGCCTTCTCTATCATCCCACATTTGGAATAAGATTTTAGAAGAAGTGCATAAGTATCTTCAGTTGGGATACATCGAGCATCAACAAGCGCCAGGTAAGTAGATTCTGCTTTCTTAACAAGTGAACTCTGCCCATAAGCTTCTATGAGCAAATTGTAGCAAATCACATCTGCCTGAAAGGAGCTCCTACACAGTATCCATTCACACATCTGCAAAGGAGTATTACTTATTTAAACGAGGCTCCATCTTGTACGCTGGAATGATTGGATAGTTAGTGATATAGCACACTTATCCTATTGACAATTGAGTAGGCATACAAACTTATCCTACGACAATCTGAGGGATAAATATGTGGACACACAGACAATTGAATGAAGCCAGATTATGAAAAAATGGCGCGAGACACACGATCTTTACCAGTATGATCAGATCCCATTGCTTGTTGAGTCGAAGTTGAACTGCTACATTGATTAGATCATCCCAGGTGTGATTGGTGGGACGTAAAGTATCCAAGGAAGACCAAATCCTCTCTGGATCTTTTTCCGTCTTTATAAAAGTTAGAATTTGCTGAGCAATTGGGCTTAGAACTGGGAATATACCATCAACAAAACCAGATCCATATTTCCATCCTCTGCCCCTTAAAGAACCACCTGCACAATAGTCATGAATTTGGCATCAGGATGGAGAAACACATATATGAAACTACTGCCGTTAAACATCAACCTACATCTTTTCCGTGAAACTTTTTTGTGATCAAAGTGTCTAAATCTGCCACGTCTATCAATGAAAATGCTATCTTGCTTCCACTTCTCAACGGGAACTTCATTGGAGGCACTTGCTTTCCATCTGAATCCACCTTTACTAATTCTTGGTTCATAAAGGATATAATTCAATGGACATTTAGAGACCAACCTACAACAGCAGCTCAGAAGACAAAAAATTTCTAAGTCCTACGCTCCAAATGCATCACAGGACGCATGAACAAGGTAACACATGCTTGATATCAGAAACAAGACAGCACATTGAGCTGACTGATTTGCTACATGATGCAATGCTATGACTCCAAATCAAACATAACCTCATTTCCTAGTAAGTGTATAAGGTTGTCAAAAACATTATAATTTGATAAATGTGGTGTCCGGGGCAGCTTGCAAACACCTTGACTAGTTTCACGGGATGCCTATCACCTCCTACCAGCAACAAGTACCAGGTGACTCACTCTGTCCACCAAGGCTAGAACAAATGAGAAGAAATCACCTAGTGTGTTGTTTCTTTTAGAGATTTGAACCCGAGACCTCATGACGCTCAACCCACTTCATTGACCACTAAGCCAAAGCCACACCCTTAGGTGCAAATTGGTTTCTAATTTCTCTAACCTCGAAGCAGCATTCGTAGCTGTGAAGAAGATACTCACAAAGATGGGACAATGATTCAGTACAACACTAAAAAAAAATTGCATTATCATCTGACAAACACATGTAGTAAGTACATGAGGTGAATGACAAAAATGGCAAGTACTACATAACAGACAAACAATTCCAATTTTAATTTCAGTGTATATGTGATTTGATTACTCAATCTAATGTTCTTTTTTCATCTTATTAATTTCATTCTTAACATAATCTCAGTCCAGCTAAGAGAGCACAAACACAAAAAAATGTAATCTTTTTCTGCTGCAGAGCTCAAGAAACTATGAATGAATGAATGACAAATGAAGTAGAGTTCAAAATTCAAGAAAACAAGAATGAAATGCACCAGACCAGAAGAGAAGAAAAGTTACATGAAGATAAGGCCAGCCAGAACCTCAACTCAGTGTCCTTCACTTCTTCTGTTGTGTTTTTTGGTGTACAAACATAATTGTAAAATATCTACTCTTCTAACGCATGCAGACAAAACACACAATGGTCAAACATCATCTTATATTTCCCCTTCCCCCTCCCAATTTAAAATTTATGAGTTTTGAATTTTAATTTTTTATGTTGTTAACAATTTCTTTAAGATAAAATACAAAATTTCAATCATAAGTATCTTCTAGTCTAGCTCCACCAAAACCACTTCTAAAGAATATACATCGATAAGATAAAATAAATTTTCTATTGTGTAAGATTATTTTTTTTGGGTCTCAAGAGTTGGTGGATTAAAATTTTATGGACTCAAAAATGTCTTATATGGGTCTGCTAATTTGTGAGACATAAACAAGCCTCATTCAATTACCGTAAATTGTCTGAGGCATATAATAAAACTTTTGCGGATAAATTAATGATCAATGCAAGATATAGTTAAGTAGAGCGTGAAAAAGACGGATTGGGTTGAATTTGAACGGGCGCAAAACGTATTACTCATATAATTAAGTACTCGTATTTCATGAAATTAATATTTTATCTTAGGTTAAAAAGTGTATAATTTACCATAAAACGTATAACATAACATATAAACAATTTCTTTATATCAATTAATAGAAATAGTAGGATAATATATTTATATCAATAATTTTTTTTCTAATGAATATGTCAAATCTAAACGTGAGTAAAAGTGAACGGAGGAAGTAATATAGCAAATCTCCCTTCTTAATTAGATGGCAAGAGTCTTGGTGAGCCAAATTAGGTCAAGATTCCTAACTTAGCCCAAATTCCAAAAAGTAACAAGAAAATTGAAGTAACCCACCAATATTTTGCAGCCCAATTGGGCAAAACCCAAGAGTCTCAACTCCTAAAACCTCAGGACATTGCTGGGAAAAAACCCAGAGAAGCAGATTTCTCACTTCAGAGAGCATTCATCAAGTAAGTTCACAAATTCTCCCTTCCTTTTTCTGTTTAGTATACGCGAGCATCGACTCTTTTTTCTTTTGGGAACATTTTCATAGCTCAATTGTATCTTGGGGATAATCGTGGACTGTTGTGAATAAACCCTCTGTTTATGGTTTTGGGTGTCCATAAAAATGGCTTCTTTAGGGTGTAATGGAGTCGAAACCTCTGATTCGTTGATGGGTTTTCTTTGCTGAATCTGATTTTCAAGATTTTAAGCAGAGATATGATAAATTTACAAAAATAGAAAAAAATAGATCAGTTTTTGGTTGATATTAGGTAGAGAAATGGTCCAACCCCATCCATTAGAGTCTATATGTGAAAGTTGGAAAAGTAAGATAAAATTTGATAAAGAAGTTAAGGTCCTAATATAAGGAGATCAATGAGTTTATCATCTTCAAAATTTGATTTTGGTTTATGTTTGGAAGTTGTGAATGTTATTATTTGGGTATGTACTAGGGTAGGGATACTATGCCATGAGCTTGATCCGCAATTTAGTTAGACTAGGTCTCAGTGAACCAGAAAGAATAAGAAGTGAGTGAGGTGGAGGGAGAGGACTCCTAGATTGAGTAGGAGTGTTGGTTGAAAGTAAAGTTCATTGAAACAAGCACTTAACAGAGTATGCTTGACATTGTGCTATGTGTAGCAAATTGTTCCGTCAGGATTATGTTTACATCTTCATTGAGTGATATCAGTTTTTTTATGCGGTAATAAAGGAACGCACATCTTTATAGTTGTCTGCACTATTTGTGGATGCGAGAAACTTGTATCTAGTGATAAGTAACTAACCAACCAATTTGATCTTGAGAGAGACTTCTCCACACTTTCACATTCTTTATTTTGGTGGATAGGTGTACCCCCGCCTGGGGTGGGGTGGGACGGGATGGGAGGGGGGGGGGATGGGTCACTGAAGCTTCTTAGGTAAAACTCCCTCAAATGGAAGGTTCATACATTTACTTTCTCGAAAGACCCTAAGTCTTGTTAAGTCTCAAGCTGTTTAATATTTTAATTCACTCAACTTCAAAAGAGTGACTAAGTATATGCTCATGTAGAGTTAAATGGTATGCGTAACTCTCTTACTGTTGACTATTCTCTTTGCTTCTAGGGAAGCAATTCTCTTTGATTTATGGAGATACTTATCATTTTTTAACGTCACAGAAGTGTCCCTATAACTACTCTTCTCAAAGTAATACAAAGAGATCAGAGCAAAAGAATTTTGGGAAATATGAGAAATCACCATTGATGTTTCATGAAAAGCTAAGATTGGTATGTATAACAGTGGCTGAGAGGGAAACTAAAAGGAGAAATTTGTGTCTATCTCTATAGTTGAGAAAATGATGTTTTCAATGACTTGTTCTTGAACATTTTTTCAGTTGTGTTCAAAACTGACTAAAATGACAGAGCTATTTATTATGTCTAAATAATTTTTTTTTAAAATTAAACAGTTGCAGTGATTTAATAAGTAAAATCTCAACGGTTTAAGCTTGATGGTCCCCGTCATTGGTTCATATCACCGAAGGACTCAGTGGTGGTGCATTATGTTATGTTTACACATACTGGTTATTATTGTAAAATGTGGGTTTCAATGTCTAATATTCTTGTATAGAATACTGGTTATTATGTTATCTTTTTCTTCTTTTTACATGGGACTTGCTACATCTTTTTACAAATTTGTCTTAGTTATTTAACTATTTTAGTTTAGTCTACATGAAAGTCTTGATTTGGCTTGACTACTACATGTTTAAGAACTACAGCAGCTTTTGAAAACCATGAATGCACATTTCTTCTCTTCTATTGCTGTAAGCATACCTCCTACTTCTATCCAGGGCACACAAAAACATTGAGTTCTCTTGTTTCCATAGTTTTCTTCTTAAGTGTTGTACATGTTCGGGAATGAGTAGTGTTTTGAGTTGTTCCAGTTTCCTATACCCTTTTCATAACGAGTGTGTTGAATCACGTGAATCGCCTCGTTTTTATCAACTATTAAAGAATGGATACTTTTTCTTTATCAAAATAATGGCTACTTTATTTATTTGAATATGTTTGCAATATGCTCCCTTGCGTATGGACTTGAATTTTTTGTTGGGTCAAGTACGTGAAATAGTTTTGTGTAGTGGTGAGACTTGATTCCAGCATTTCGATGACATGTTGAATTGTATGAATTGACCCATTTTAAGGTTTAAGTTGTTCGGGAGAGGAGACTCATCATTAAAATTTGTTTTCAGTCATGGGGTAACCTCTTAGGGCTACCATATGGAAGTTCTTCTCAGAGGGGCAGAATTTCAACTATGCAGATTGCATACTTCAATCTCAAACTTATGAGTTAGCTTGTGTTAATTATGATGCAGTTTTCTCCCACTACGGAAAATTTTAATACTCTTGAGTGCCTCACTTTTTCTATTGTTGATTGTAAATTATGTTACCTGTGTTTTTACTTTTCCTGAATTCATCCCTGCAAATCTAATTCATTTCCAATTTCCAGCTACCTTACTCTTTCTACTAAGATGCTTGTCACCTTTTCTTAGGAAGTATCCTTGCAAATCTTACTCTTTTCTTTTCTGCAGAAGCGGTAAAGCAGGAAGATATGAGTGCTTACAACGCTTTCAAAGCTTGTACTCCAGTCGCATGGAGCCCTAATCTATACATAACCCTTGTAAGGGGTATACCAGGCACTAGGAGGCTCCATAGGCGTACCCTTGAGGCATTGCGTCTTGGCAAATGCAACCGGACTGTAATGCGATGGAACACACCTACTGTTAGGGGAATGATTCAGCAGGTTTTAATAGTGCTATGCTATCAATATGGACTAATTTAATGCGTTTTCTTTCCTTCATCTAGTCTGGTTTATACAACTCTTGTCATTACCACATGAAGATTAATATTTTTTGTATCTATCATTTTGATCTTAGGTGAAAAGATTGGTTGTCGTTGAGACAGAAGAGATGTACAATGCACGTAAGGAGAAATTAGCTAATCAGAAAGCTCTACGTCCTCCTTTGGTTGTAAACCATCACGCAGCCCCTGCAGCTGATTCAGTTCAGTAACTGTTGAAACTCTTTCATGGTCAGATTTGTAATTTGGTCCTGCTATAATGGTCCATCAATGTAGTGCACCCAAGTTATACTTTTGAACATTTGAAAGCTGTTGGTAGGAGCTTTCGCTTTAGCATGTGCTATGAAATTGCATTGAACCTTTGTATTCAGGTGGTGGTTATTATTGTTTTGGCTATAAACAATGCCTCTGGAGCAATCTAGAGAGTTGATTAGGTCCTTACTGTGGAATAAGGAACTTGAAGAAAGATGATATAAAACTAAAAACTAGTTCTAGGTCTGAGAACTCTAGCTCAATGAAGTGCAATGAAGGATTGCGTTATGTTTATGTCATATTAGGAACAACCTTGGATTTTTCGGGATTCTCTGGGAACTTTAGCTTGATTTTCACTGCTTTCTGTTTACCTTTCCTTTGCCTTTTTTCTTCTTCTTCCTCTTCCTTGTCTTCTCTATTCGAGCTCGAGTCTATACTGGTCTTTCTGTCAATATATATATATATATATATATAATAAGTCACAATGCAACTATCATTCTAACTATCTTGTTAGCTTTCAACCAAAAGCTAATATATATATATATATATATATATATATATATAATAAGTCACAATGCAATTATCATTCTAACTATCTTGTTAGCTTTCAACCAAAAGCTAATATATATATATATATATATATATATATATATATATATATATATATATATATATATTGTATATATAATAAGTCACAATGCAATTATCATTCTAACTATCTTGTTAGCTTTCAACCAAAAGCAAAAGCTAACAAGATTTTTAGTTACATATTTATTATTTAGTATGAGCTATTTATTACTCATTCCTTTTGAATTTGTTAATCTGATTTTGATCTGACACATAGTTTACGAAAGTAAATTAGATTTTGAGAAAAAACATTAAGTGATACTTGAAGTTGTCCTAGATTTTCAAAAAGACACCTTAACTTTGCGTGCGTCCTATTACCCCTCAAAACATTCAAAATCACAATAAATACACATTTTTTACACAATATTTCTACTTTGGACAAAAATATCCTTCGAATGTTCAATTTCTTAAAAACAAAAAGTCGGACCCATTATTGATGTATTGAAGGATGCTTTGGTAATTTTCTATGATGAATTCGTTTTGTTTGTTTCTTTTAAATTTATTTTACTATACTAAATAATTGTATAAAATATTATGAATCACGATAATTAATTACTTAAATATTTAAAAGATATAAAAATATATAAAAGATCTGATTGACTCTTCAAATTTTATCGGTGACACATAAATTGGGACAAATGAAATAATATATATTATTTGAAAAATTCTTAGAAAGTACTATAAATTACAATAATTAACAGCTAGAAATATTTCAAAGACAAAAAAAATTGATTGAATCTCAAATTTTTTTTAGTACTACATGAATTGAGAAAGAAGAAATGATCTCTATTATTTGAAAATGGCGTAAAAGTATTACAAATCATACAATAAGAATTAACAATTTAAAATTTTAAAAGACTTTAATGCTTTATACTTATTCTATTTCCACTTTGGACAAAAATATCCTCTCAATATGCTTATTTTTTTAAACAAAAAGTGGGACCCATTATTGATGTATTCAAGGATGCTCTAGTGTATATATATATATATATATATAACAATGATCTTTGAATAAAAGGAAGAAATCAATGTTAGTTATTTTGTCTTTAAATATCTTTCTTTAGTCTGAAGTGATGGCTGGCCTTGGTGCTTTGAGAAGAAAAATGGGGTGAGGAGTTGGTGGCTGAAGTTTCCAAATGATTTCATCCTAATTGTTTATCTTTGATCTGCTCCATATAATAAAATTTATGATAATAGCAAATCAATATATTATTATGGAGTGAGCTTGGCCATGTTTCATCGTGGAAGTTGCAAAAAAATATTCTGTTTTCATAGTGAAAATTGATATTTGAAGATTGAATTTGTATATAGCCCTGAATACACATTTGGCCATAAAAATTCAAAATTTAACTTGGTCAAATGCCCTATTGGAGGAGGTTAAAAATTCATTGGACCAAATTTCATTATCTTTACGAATGCCTTGCAAGCTGATCGTTGCATAATCACATGCAACTCGTGTTAGAGTGATAAAAGAAAAAAAAGACTAAAAATAAAATAAATAAATTATAATAAAAAAATAATATTATTAAAAACCAAAAATTAAAGTTATTCAATCAAACTTTTTAATATCATATTATACTATAGTAAGAAAGAGAGAAATTTCATGGAATGAGGAACATAGAGCAAAAGAAGTAAAGATGACAAATGGGGGTTTGTGGTTTGGACAAAGAAAAGAATCTTCCTTGTGCTTGTGTGCCACAGTGAAGGCACTAATTTTTTTTTTCGCTAAAGGATATTTATTATTCGAATAATTTTCTCTTATTACTGAAAGAAAGATTTTATCGAAAAGAATGATACTTTTTCATATTTGGAAATAGTTAAACTTTTCATATTGTTCTATATATGACCATTTACTTATCCAGTACGCCACTTCTCAATCTTCCATATAACTGCTTACCCCCTGCAATTTTTTTAAAAAAATTTACTTTTCCCCTCATTTACTAATATTTTCCTCTTCAATAATTAGAAAATTTACTACAAAAATATAATTTATTCAGTGAAGTCTTAATAGAAAAGTAGAGATTGAGCATGATAGGGTAGATACCGAATACTTTTTGAATTTTATTGTATTCGATATGATATTCAATATTTATATAAAAAATATTAATGTAATATCAAAATATATAATTATATATAATATTCTAGTATATTATTATAATAATACTTATAGATATCAAAAACAACAACATACTTTTCTCATAAAAATAATAAATATACAAATCTATATCAATACAAAACTAATTATTTGAATATCAAAATTTGAACAACTCTATATTAATTAAAATATTCTTGTATAAATGATAGTCAAAAAATTACTTATTTTTCCTTTGAATATTTTAGTATTATATAATTAAAATATTTCTTAAACAGTCTTAAAATACCGAAATCAAACTTCAAAATAATCAAATCATAACTTTGAAAAATATCTTTTTTCCTTTAAGTCCTATATATTACTCTTTATATGTTTCCCTAGTTGTACTCCAACGCAGAAAAGAAACCCCTCGGCTTTTTCCTGCCATTGGTAAAATTTCTGCTTCTCTCTCTAAAATCTTCTAATTCTCTGTTTCTCTCTCTAGAATCTATCGATTTCCGATTACTGATTTGGGGTTTAACGGTAAGGGGTTTGGAAAATCTCAGTTTTTTTGATCAAGTATTTCTGTATTTTTGTTATCTGATGATTTTGTTGAGTTTTGTTTAGTGTAATTGTACTGTGTTAGAATCAACGGTATCTGTTGCAGCAATCAATTTGTGCGGACGGAAAATAGTTGGGGAGAAGACCAGCAGTATATACAGGTTGATTGAGATTTTAAGTATTTCTGTTTAATGTGATGTATTTGAGTATCTGATTGAGAATTACTCAGTTTATTGATTTGAAGTGAGTGTTAAGTTGAACTTTATTGAAAATATTCAATGTGTATGTAGGAGGAATTTCATTTTGATGTTGAATTTGAATTTTGCATATTTGTTGAGAAAAATTGGGGGTTTCTCCCTGAACTGCTTTTTGGGTATAATCCTAAACTTTGTAGTTATTTTTCAAGTTAATAGAATATAAACTGAATGAAACAAAAAACACCAAGTGATTTTCTTTTCATCTGTATTTGCCTTGTTGGACAGAGTGGAGAGAGGTATTTTGGTATAGGTATTATGTGGAATTAGTCTAGGATGAAACAATTGTTTCACTTGAAAATATTGTTTGGTAGCTTCTTTTTTCGCTGCCTCTTGAAAATACATTTTTCTTCATCTTTACACTGTTTGCCCTTGAAAGGGAGGATCTGTGTGAAATATTGTGCTTTTGTATTATATGGTAGTAGATCTTTTATCTTTATGGTTGATTAGGGGTGTTTGTATTTGCCTTTTTTTTTTGGATGTATTATGTGTTTAGGGTCGTGAAATACGAGGAACAATACAATGCATCTCTTACTCTGTTCAATTTGTTTGATCACGGATGGAATTTGTGTCACTAGCAAATGTTTTTTTACGTGTTCCTTGTTTTTGAGTAGTCTGAAATGTACATTACTTGGTTGCAGATGTGCAGTTGCCAGTTTATTGAATGCTTTTTGTTAACCAGGGTCTGGTCTATAAGTTTTGTAATGCTAAGTCCAAATTTAGTATTTTTTTCACTACTCTCAAGTATCTAATGAATCTGTTCATCATGTTGTTCACTGTAAAAAAATCCGTATCACAAGCATCGATAGGTTCTCCATAAAGATGGTTCTAATTTTGGTATGTATTTTATTTTGCCTATGTCTGATTTCTCCAAAGAATTTTTTTATTAGATGAAAGGTAGTATTAGATATCAGGTTCATTTTGATCAATAATAATAGTCAATACATAACAGCTTTGAATGCTATTGTAACTTAGTTCAATCTTAACATGTTTCTCCTGCTTTTTTTTTTTCCTTATCTAGCCTCTTTGATTGCATGTGCACTTCTTTGGGAAGTTGAATATATATTTGGGCTCCATACTGGTTTGACATATCACCAATTGTTGTTTTTACTATTATGTGCCTTTAAATGAAGTGACAGGATATAGTTTGTCAATGGAGTATGACAACGAAGAGCATGGTTTTATTAGTGTTCCGGCTCCTGAGTTTGGTGCAATTTTTATGTCAAATATTGCAACAAAGAGAGACTGCTTTAAACATAAAGTCTTTGGCCTTCCATCATCCATGGGCAATTTTGTGAAGGAGGTCAAAAAAGGAATGATCCTGTTCCTATTTGAATATGAAAGGAGACAACTTTTTGGAGTGTATCGGGCTATCTCAGATGGTGGAATGAACATTGTACCCCATGCATTTAGTTCTTCTGGGAAGCAGTTTTCTGCGCAGGTATCATATTGTCAAATGATGATTTCATATAATTCAACAAGTATTATCATTAGGTTGAATAATACAAGGATATTTTTGGTTTCCTTTTTTTCTTTTTGCTTTCATGTTCTCTTCCCCAGGTTCGATTTGTGCTGATTTGGCGTTGTAGTCCACTATCCGAAGATGAGTTCCGTGATGCCATTAGGGAGAACTACTTTTCAGCAAGGAAGTTCCACTTTGGTCTGTCTGATGAGCAGGTGTGATGATTGCTCTCTATATTTGGGCTTTTAGTGATCATATGTTGTAGCTGCATATTTCTGTTACTAATTGTTCCTTCTCAATATGCAGGTTCATAGGCTTCTTAGATTGTTTAGTTCAAGAAAGTTAAAGAATAAGTTACCCCCGAGAAAGCTCACAACTGGAGTGGGCAATGGAATTGACGAAGACCATATAATGGTGAATAACAAATCCTATACAGCAAGTGGTGGCTTTGATATCAAACGTTCTAATGCTGATTTAAGGCCTTCCCTGTCAAGAGGATATCCAAGTTCATTCCATGGAGTAAAAAGAGTCGCCGATGACATGTTTTCAATTGAGCATAGAGAGAAGGATGAAGATATAGTTGATTCTGCCGAACATCTCTACTATAATGATAAGAAGAGAAGAATAGGTTATGATGAAGCATTATCAAGGGATAATGCTGCAGAAGATAAGCTTCATGTTCACTCCCCCACTGAAGAATTAGGATTTTCTGGAGATGATGAGTGGTCTTTGAATGGCAGGGTAAAGAGGAAATATAAAATCAACATGAATTGTACTCCTGCCCTCTCCAACTACATGGAAGATTCTGACCTCAGAAGAACAGTTCATGATGCAAATTTAGTGGTAAGAGATCAGATAGTGAAGGAAAATAACATGGATAGTAATTTTGGTCCGGGCAGATCAAATGAGCAGAATGAAAAGCCTTCAGACAATGCTAGAACTAGACTTTGTACTCATTATGCAGGTTTTTTAAGGAACAATCATGTGGATAAAGCACATATCATGGATAATTCTCATGAGCCTTCCCTTTCTAGGAAGAATAGAAGTGATCCCTTTTGGAATGTTGGAACTGCAAGTGATGATTGGCCGAGTTCCTTGGATGATAGAGTAGGGGGGAAAAAGAGCCATTTGGACCCTGATATTAATTCTACAATTGTGTCTGAGCGCTTTGTGAACTCACCCTACAAGAAAAAAGGAATGCGTAAAGATGGTAGATTATTCAGAAGAGAGATAAGCGGAAATGAATCTAAGTTTTGTACACGTCTCATAAGAGAATTTGATCATCAAGAGGCCACTGATGATGATGTATGCTTCCTTTCTAGGCGTAAAGGAGCAAATGAAAAATGTGTTGACAGATTTCTTATCCCAACTGCTTCAAATGGGAACTCCGCCTATGCCGGAGATGTAGGTAGACAAATGGCTGAAGTTGGTAGTTATCCAATGGATGATTTTGATGGGTTGGTCCCTGGTACAGAAAACTTTCAGAGGCCTCTCGCCGGGGCTGATTGCACTGTGTACTCTCCAATGAAGAAAAGAACCTCAGGGTACTCCACCAAGTTTCTTGCTGGAACAGAATTTCCTCAGTCAACAGAAGGACAAAATTTTGGTCCCTCTTGCTCTAAATTCCATGATGCAACAATTACAAGAGTCATGCCATATAAGGATGAGCTACCCAATTCTTGTTATGGACATACTGAGACATACGAAGTTGAACAGGGTTCAAACTTTGTGCGAGGGCCACCTTCTTCCAATGTGTATAGAGAGAATAACTTTGCATCATCTAAAGGTATATCTTCTCCATATTCCCATCCTGAATTTACAACGAGGGGCCTGGAATCAGTTTCTGAAGGTGGAAAAATGGTTCTGCTTTCGCACGATGGGTTCAGCAATCCACCTTTAAATGTTGGAATTTCTGAGTTGGTGGAACCAAATAGGTCTGGTTCTTTTGGTTACAGAACTGCTTCCATTCCAAGGGCATCTATTGCTCCACAGTTAACTAGGGATGATATTAATGAGGGTGAAACTTGGAGATTTTCATCTCAAGCTGCCCTTGGTTCAATTGCTAGAAATTCCTTTTCTGGTAATTATCAATGTGCTGATGAGGAGATAGGTGATGGGCATGTTATATGGCAAGGGAGTGATGCAACTCATGTTGGAAGAATATCTCGCTCTCCTAACACTAGTTGGTTACTCCAAGGAAATGTTTTGACAAATCTTGACAACGCCTACAGACCTGGAGCTGACATAGTTAATGATGAATACGAGAACAACAGATTAACACAAGTTCATTCTGATTCCAGAAATTCCAGAAAAAGTGTTTTTAGTCGCTTATCTTTGGCTCCTAAAGTACATAAGCTAAGAGAACACAAATTTGATTATAGTATGAGCTTTGAAGAGCATTATATGGATACAACAGTTGATGAAATCATGGACTTGTTATACGAGGATCAGAAAATTGTACCAAAAAAGCCATTGAATCGTAAACCATTTATTCGAAAAGTTGGATCTGGTGAAACTGATAGGTCAGGAAAACATGCTGCAGTTGTCAAGAATGATGCAGAGCAGACTGCTGATTCAATGATGAGAGTTCTCAAAGAAAGTGCAAATGAAGTTCTTGAAGAAACCATGAACCATATTCTGGCAGAGACCAGAATGGTGGATTTCAAGCGCAGGAGGGAGACAAATCGAGCTTCAGAACAGACTACTGTTAAATTAAACAAAGAAGAAGAGACAAATGCTAATGAATACACAGTCCTTCAGAATGCACTAGGAAACAGTTCTCAAACTGCAGTGGCTAAGGTTTCAGCTGATAAGCCATTCAAGCGTAGGAAGCTTGTGCGTCCAGCATTTGATGAGAACAACTGTAGGAGTGTTTTGAATCACCAACTTCCTTGTCAGACACTTGCCACGGCTAAAACAGGGAACTCAGATTCGATCGAGTTTCAGCCCGCTCTCTAATAATTAAACTATCTAGGTGAACAACGAAATGATCACTCCATAGTCATCAAGTTCTCCAACATGCTTACTCAAGAGGCGGTTTGCATAGACTGAAGCTTGGTATATGATGATGACGAGGCTGAACGAAGGCAGCGCCATGATTGTATACTAAAATCATGTAGCATACGACTGTTTTCAGATCTTATGTCGATCTGCACCTCAAGTTTTGTGGAAGTTGGATTTTGTTATGCAAATGAACAAATTCACCCCTTGTGTAAATTTGATATTTGCTTCCTTCATTTTGTTCCGCATAGTAACATGTTCTTATTTTAGTTGATCTCGTCTTTTATCCTATTAAATCATTTTCTTCCAAAAGAGTTTACTCCTATATTTTGAGTGATGTGGTAAGTAGTTATTCATTCTTAATCGAAGATTTTGGATGTGAGCTTTGAGTATGAAGTTGCTTTTGTTAAGAAAAGTCTGGTTCAAAGGGAGGTGATTTGGTACCTTCCAGCTATCTTGTTTCTCTGCCTTGTGCATGCCCCTCCTTGTAGATAAGGTGAGCTCTCACAATGTGACGGGCGATGTGTACGAGGTTCAAGAATGAATTTACCACCATATAATATATCAGTTTCATATGGATAAGTTGTAGCCCGGAATTCGAACGGACACCCTCGTGGGATCACAACTTATTTGAGTTAAGGTGATGACTTGGGGCAAGATGAGTTCTCATAGATGACTTGTCGATAATTACTACTTATTTCAACTTCATACAAATAAGTTGTAGTCTGAAATCCAAACACATCATATGTTATTAAGAATAGTTCACCCTTATGAGATATAAAAATTAATTGGGAAATAGTTGGTCCTAATCAAATTTAACATGAATTATGGTTTGCGTATTTATTCTATTGATGATTACATAACGTTTTTTGATGGTATGACTTGTCAACGATTACTATCTATTTCGACTTCATATAGATAAGTTGGAGCCTGAAATAAAAAACATTTGGTGAGGATAGTTTACCCTCGTGGGATCAAAACTTAGTTAGGTACATGCCAATTTTATTTTATTTTATTTTTGGTACTAAAATCACATCTTTTGTTTTTTGATATAGTTTAAAATTTATTTTTTATATGACATTTAAAATTCTAAATTAAACATATTTTCATACCTGAATTTATTTTAGTTTCGGATCAAAAGATTTGAAATTTCAATTAAAAAAAGGAATTGAAACTAAAAAAAGGTATTACTATCTCCGTTTACTTTTAATTGTCGTGATTTCATTTTTTAGAGTCAAATGATAAACATTTTAACTAACATTTTATAATGTATTTTTTTATCAATGAAATTTAATTTCACTTTAAAAAGTAATCAAATTGACTTTCGAAAGTACACGGACGGAGGTAACACACAAATCCATTTGTCATTTTACAGTTATAACCTTCTAGCAGAATCTCAGTCACCCCCACCCCCTCTTCCGCCCCAAACCTCCGGTGACATCTGAAGTCGCCACCGCAACCGCCCGCCGTACCACATGCTTCGGAACCTCCGAACGCGGCGGCGTCCGCTTTACGGCGCGCACATTTGCGCCTTAGCGGCCGCGATTCTTCTCCTCCTCTCCGTTTCACTCCTCTACAGTCGCCTCAACTTCTTCCTCCAACCTAACAATCCCCATCCGCATCCCCTCCAATACGACACCATTTCACTGAACAACCCTCTCGTCGACGATTTAGCTGACGCTGATTATCGCTCCTCCGATGACCGCATCGACGAGCTCGACGTTGCTGACAGCAACAACAATAACGATGATGAGTTCCTCTTATCCAATGAATCCGAAGAGGACGATGAAGAAATCATCAATCAGTATCCTAGGGTTTCCTCGACGTATTTCTACGACCAGAGGCACGGAGTTGTACGGAGGGCGTTTAACAAACGATCAATTGAGGAATGGGAAGATTACGTTAATTTTGAATCGAGGATGAAGTTAGGATTAGGGTTTAAGAATGATGAATCTAAGGCCGCGTTTGGATCGGATGATCTTCCAGTAGATGTGCAAATGAGGATGAAGTTGAGTGAAATTGAGAGTGTTGAAGATGCTTTATTACTAAAAGGATCACCTTTGAGGGAAGGGTGGGGTGAGTGGTTTGAAAAGAAGAGTGATTTTTTGAGGCGTGATAAAATGTTTAAGTCAAATCTGGAGGCGTTAAATCCAAATAATAATCCCATGTTGCAGGATCCTGATGGAGCCGGGACTACTGGATTGACTAAGGGGGATAAGATTGTGTTAAAAGGGTTGATGAATGAGTTTAAGAAAGTTCCATTTCTGGTGAAAAAACCACTTTCAGTGTCTGAATTGACAAAATCTGAGTTGGTTAATGATGCTTTGGAGCTACAGAAGATGGCGGGGCTGGCAAAAAATGATGTGTTCGAGTCAAAGGAGTTGAAATTCAATGGTGAATTAGTGAAAACTAATGATGAGGATGTGAATAGAGGGAAGAGAGTGAAGCGTAGAACTTTAAACGATGATGCTAGAATTGGAAAAAGAGTTGTTCATGATAGTGATGGAGAGTCAGCTCCTAGGAGTAAGGAAGAGATAAGGAATGGTAATATGAAAGTTGTGCAAGATGATGCCCGCGGTGAAGTTTCTGGGCTAGTCTTTGCTGATGGGAAGAGATGGGGTTACTTTCCGGGCTTGCAACCCCGGTTGTCTTTCACTAACTTCATGGACTCATTTTTCAGGAAAGCAAAATGTACTATGAGAGTTTTCATGGTCTGGAATTCTCCAGCATGGATGTTTACCGCTCGGTATCAGAGGGGACTTGAGAGTGTACTTAACCGTCACCGGGATGCTTGTGTGGTGGTTTTCTCTGAGACAATCGAACTTAATTTCTTTAGTGGTTTTGTGAAGGATGGGTAAATTACTGAATTTCTTTCTTCCATAAGTTTAGATTTGTTATCTTGTTGGCAGAGGCAGATGTAGAGTACAGGTACCCGGTGCTGAGCATAAATTTATGTGTAAAAATCCACGAATATTGCAACAAACAGTAGATATGAACCGATAACTTTAAAAATACAATGAGTTCATTTGCTAAAAATACCTGGATCTGCCTCTGCTTGTTGTTGTTGTGTATTTGGCTAATATTTTCATCTGAAGTTATCCATATTTGCCTCATGAAAATCATACTCAAAGTGCTTCCAAGAAGTCTTAAGTTCTTGCTTAAAACAACAGTTTTTTTTTGTAAAAGAAGATAATCTCAAGTTCTCTTTGTGTATATATGCATAAATGCATGTCTATGGTGTTTTATTCTTCCATTTGCACTTTATTGGAGATGGATTTGATGATAGATTATTTTCCGCAGCTTTAAAGTGGCTGTTGTGATGCCCAATCTTGATGAGCTCCTACTAGGCACACCAACACATGTATTTGCTTCTTTCTGGTATGAATGGAAGCAGACAAGACATTACCCTTTCCATTATAGTGAACTAGTCAGGCTGGCAGCTCTATACAAGTAAGCAATTTGGAAAATATACACTTCCCAATGTATTTAAATTGTTATGTACTCTGAAGCTAATCGAGGTGTTATCTCTATGATGATGCATTGTAGTTTCAATTTAAAATGTGTTACCTTCCACCTAGTTTGGCATAACAGAGTAAAAAATCTGGTGTTTCCTGTATATAACATTTGACTTGAGGTAAGGCAAATTAGATAAGGAGCCCGCACTTAAGATCTCGACTATTTATTTCAATAGGTAATTATTTTTTATTATAGAAAAATGATTCCAATAATCTTTTCGAGATTAATCAGTTGACGGCATAAACAGTAACCTTCTCTAATGCAATCAGCTCATGGATGGATAATTCATGAATAGTCAAAAAGGAAGAGTTGCAATAGATTAACTTCAATTTGCTGAGGGTTTTTTTTTTTTTTTTGAGAATTCAATTTGCTGAAGTTAATTTCAATGTGATTGTAATATTTTTTATTTTTCTTTCGCCTTTTTATTTCCCATAGCTGATATTCTTAAACTTGGTCTAGTAAGCCACAAGACAGGTTGTTCATGAAGTTAAGAAATGGAATTGATGATGGTTAGAAACACTTTATAAAAAATGACGGTGAGAGGACTACTGAAGAAGGATCTAAGTTTCTTCTGAGACATACAAAAGATTTTGCTGTTAGTATATGTTAGTGGATAACTCATAGTTGCGTCTGTGGCACATGGAAAGCTTCTTTTTAAGATCACATAATTCCAGAAATTTGCTGCTTCTAGTGAGGGTTTTGTTTTAGCAATATATGCCAATAGCTGAATTACATGAATTATCCTTAGAGAAAGTAGATTGTGGTGAGGCTGCAACAACAGCTCTTTGCAAAAGTCAAGAACCTTATGAAACTAGGATCATGATCGTGTTTGAATATATTACAGATGGCTGTAAATCTAGCAATTTGCCACCTGTTTATTCTGAAACGTGTTACATCTCAATCTTTTTCCTGATTCACATTAAAAAAATTATTTACCTTATAAAAAAGATTGACTAAAGGGGCCATATGAAAGCTGTGATCTCATGTTTGTAATGAACTTTTTGTCCTTTCCATTTACTGCAGTATTGTTCTAACTTCAGTAATATAACAACTTATTTTCTTTTGGTGAAGTTTATAGTTGTTGCATTGTTATAAATGAACTTTCATGTTCTCTTTTGCCTTTTATTGCAGGTATGGTGGAATCTATCTTGACTCAGACATCATAGTGTTGAATTCATTGTCTTCACTTAATAATACTGTTGCTTTTGAGGATAACCGACGTGGAAAAACTTTGAATGGTGCTGTAATGGCTTTTAGAAAGCACAGGTACTTGCAACACAATCTTTGCCTCTTGAATAGTTCTGAAGTGCTCTGTTCTAGTTCTGGTGTGCTTGGACCTTGCAATAACCACCCTTTCTCTGGCATTTTAGTATGTCCATACCTAATATTTTGAGGCCCACTGAGGAAAAAACAGGGATAAGGAAAATTGAGGGAGCTAGGGAAGGGCTGCTTTATGTGGACAAAATTACACATTCGTAAAATAAAGATTGATGCAAAGATTGGTCGAGGTGCACACAAGCTGAGCAAGATACCACTGTTTTCAAAAATATGTTTGGGTTGTCCTTAGCAGCCTGAAAATGCTATCGGAGGATGCAAATTTTGAACAATAATCTCTAATTGCACCTGTTAATCTGTCAGAAATGTTTGCTAAAGTTTATTGCGGGAAAAGGATAGGAACACAAGTATTCCTAGCAAAAGTATATAAATGTAAAGTATCATTTTCTTCTGTCTGCCCTATAACGAAGATTCACTTTCTTGTATGTCTTTTGCAGTCCTTTTGTAATGGAGTGTTTGAA